ATTTATTGAATTTTTCAAGGCATTGAGTTTGACATACGTTTTTTTTTGCACAAAAAAAAAACAAAAATTTTTTAAAAAATGGCTCTGTAATATGGCATATTCTTTCAAATGAAAAAAAAATTAAATATACAGAATGAGGAGTCAGAAAGAATCTCGGGTTGTTAAATGAGCTATTTTTTTGAACCTTGTTTGATGAATATCTCTCGAAATGATTATGATATATGACTGAAAATTCTAGCACAACTTCTCCATAACGAAACCGACTAGTAATCTGTGGAACAGAAGCTATGAGAAAAAGTTGTCCTAATCAGAACTAAAGATTATAGTTAAATATTCTGTGATTTTCAGCGAATTATCTTATAGATCATATCAATCAGAACATAATGTACAGATGACGACCCAAAAAACTGCTAGTCATCAACTAAACAACTCAGCAAACGAGTATTGAAGAATTCTTTTTAGATTTGATACGAATCAGCTGTGGAATATTTTTCTCGAGGCTGAGACCAAGACCTGAAAAATTAAAATCCCCGAGACTGAGACCACTATAAAAATATTATCGGAACCGATGAAAAAACCTAGTAGTGCTATCCCTGCTGGATTAAAATGTGAAACACGATGTAACTACTCTTGTTAATCGCAAGAAGATTGTTTTATTACCTCTATTTTGGTATACATTTCTTCACTATCCTTTTAATTAATTCTCGAAAAATGCATAGGAGCAGAGTGTTGCTAAGCTGTCTGTAATAGTCTTCGACTAGCGACTGCTACGGTCAGTAACTCCGCTAGGACATCAAGATTGACAAAGATGCATAAGAAAATGTTTTATAGAGGTGATAAAAAATTCAAAAACATCTTGGTAGTTTTATTGCGTAACAATGAATCATTTTCAATTATTGGAAGAAGGGAAGGCATAATGTGTATATATGTGAACATTTGGCTAAAAATGAAAGTAACACCTTTTCATGATTTATATATAAGAAAATATACTTCGAAATATAGTCTATCTAATGGTATAAATAACTTTGTTACTACCCCCACAAACACTAAAAAAACAGTTGCCCAAACATTAGCCTTACAATCGTAATGCCACCGAGAAAATTTATATCTGGCAAAATTAAACTCTTCGATTGACAAATCAAGTACATTTTCTAAATCTTCGAGTCGAATGGTAAAAAATAGTTTTAAATTTACACATTTGACTTCAGAGAAAAAAAATATTTTCTAGTGTCGTCCGAACAGCTAGTCTCGTAAAATGAGCAATCCACCTACATTCGATCCTAGAATTTTGCTAAAGTGTTTTTCTATCTACTGTCTCTAATCCCTGTTAGCACAAATATTCCTACATTAGGCAGTGAGTTTCCATAAAACCTAGATTTTTCTGATTTTGTAAAAAATATTTAATGGACAAAAATAGTACGTTTGGAATCAACTCAATAAACTGTATTGAATTATATATGACACAAAATAATTTTGAAGAAAAAGACTTTCTCAAAAAAAATGAGAGCAAGGATCCTTCTTAGGCATTTTTCTGTGTCATATCAAATCATTTCTGAATAAATAAATCCGTTTTCGAGCAAAAATCTCACATGTTCGCCTGCCATGCGAAAAATGCACACTGTAATGGAGAATTCAAATTTCCATCTCTATATTTAAACATTCCTTTTATATTGTGTTTCACAAAAAAGAAGTTATCGAGATCAAAGAAAAATATGGTCTCGCACATCTCTAGCCGTGACATATTCTGAAAATTTCATGCGATTTTAATGTACTTGATTGAAGATCGATTTTTGAGAGGAATGGAAGTTTTTAATAACAAAAACAAAAACGATTCAAATATTTAGATGATTCTGAATATGAATGTACAAATGAATGTGGAATAACAATTAGTTCATTATCAGCTAGTACAACCTATCAAATTGATGTATGTGTTATAAGTAATAAAGGCAAAGGACCACGAGTAACAATAAATGTAGTTACTGCTTCTGCAGGTAAAATATAAATTGAATTATTTGAAAAAATTTTTTAATATTATTGTTTTTGTTTGATTTAGGTGACTCAAATCCAGCACCACCTACATTTTCAATAGTAGGTCGACGTGAAATACATATTAAATGGCAACCACCAGAAGTTTTATCTGGTCGTTTTAGTCGTTATGAACTTTTATGTAATAAACGATGTATTTATTC